GGCCCGGTACCCCATACTCCCGGAGAACCCCCCACAAGGCCCCCCTTGGGACACGGTCGAACGCCTTCTCCAAGTCCACAAAACACATGTAAGGATCAATAAGAGACAAAGTGCAGGGACAGGCTGAAAGGGTGATATTGAAAATTTGTCCCTGATGTTTCGCCTCCTTGATTGAAGTGCTTTCCAGTCATCAGAGCTGGAGAGCCACCAGAGAGAAACAGTCCACCACTGTGCAATCAAGGTGTGTGGAGAAGCAGCGCTAAGGAAGAAGAATGCGACGTGATTGATGAATTCACACGTTCATTGTGAGTTTTTGCGATTGATTCGTTGCAGTTTTATCGCTCACATGCACTTAGAGTCATGTAAACTGCATCGACTCGTAATTTATCCTGCGTGCTGATTTATCGAGCTGTCGTGAAGAAATGTGGAACATTCAAACGTCTGTTTTTGGGAGATAAGTTAAGGTGTGTTTTCCTGTCAGGAATATATATTAAAAAAACTCAAATAAAATACGTCTGCCAAGACTCTGCATTTGGCAAAAATCATTTCCCGATGATTTGTTATCCAGCCGTGCTGATCTGAAAAGATGCTCAGAAAATGTGGCCTTTTGAAGTCAGTGGCAATTCTCCATAACACACCCCCACTTCTAGATGTCTTCCTTTCATTTCCCCTCAGCTGAAGTCCTCATCACACCTGCTCCCTCTCACGATTGCTCCTTATTTCTTTGAGTCTCTCTTATTTTTTCTATTTTCCTCTCTCACCTCCTACCTGCCTGTCAGAACTTGATTCTCTAATTTTATCTTTGGTCCTGCTTCATATTTCCAGTCAGGACGTGGTGGTATTTCCGTGTAGCTCCTCTGAAACAAACGTGGAATTCTCCAACAGAAGACCTACTGTATGTAAAGGGATTAAGCACTCTGAAATGATTGGAGAGCCAAATCGGTTTTTCCCAAACTCCACATCCACACACACAATAAAACGCACTCAGGAATGCACTTTTTTAATTTAGTTGTGACAAACACACACTTCTAGGTCAATGGAGGCTTTACAACAGCGAGCTAATCCATTATTCCCCATTTGATTGACTCTGGGGGGATTGGTGGAAACTTTGCTCAGTAGTTTCAGTGATTATTTTATGCACTAGTTGCTTTTTTAATCTCTTTTGCTGTTTTGAATTTTTTACTTCTGGTGAATGAATTCGAAGTCAGTTGTGCTTTGTTGCCCTCATATATTTGGGTTCAGTTTCTTGGGATTTGAACAAGGGCATAAATAGATTAGGTAGAATACAACAACTTCAACCTGACACCAGATTATATTTCAAAATCTCTTCCCCGTTCAACCCAGTTCTACGAGACAAATCCAATAAAACATGTTATTTTGACATCAAGTTTAATTTCTCAAGATAAATACAAGAAAGGAAGTAGCACAAATCTGAATTATTTCATAGACGAGCAGCGCTGAAGGCAGTGGCGCCTCCAGAAATGTTTTATTGGGGGGAGGGGGGCCATGCCCCCCAACCAGGGGTGCCAGCAGTGAGGGGGCCGATTTGTCAGGCGAGCCTATCCCCCAGACTTTTAAAGGTCAAAAGTTGTCATTGGTTACTCTGGCGTTTTGTTTTTTATGTTAGGAAGCACAGATAGTTTGTCTTTGTCAGTTTAAATGAGATTTTCTAACTGTTGTTGTCATATATTTTCCTCTCCTTTTTGTTCTTTATGTTTTTTTTTTCAAGATGAACGATTTCTGCAGCTTTCACCTACTGTACGAGAAAAACAAAGGAAGCGCCTGATGGCCCTGTGACTGCAGCCTCATCAATAAGTCATTGTTTCCAATGCACCAAAGGAAGGCGAGTCTCATGGGAAAACTCTTGAAAGAGGCTTTACAAAAGCTGATGACTCATTTAACTGAACGCTGTTATCTCTTTGGGCTTCGGTGGTGGAGTCGCATCATACAGCTCTTCCTCCCTTCTTCACCTTAAATATAAAATTAGGACTTTGTGTCTCAATTCAGGGCTTACAGCCAATGTTGGCCTAATTTGTCGGCCGCTTACATCACCGCCCCGCGCTGTAGGCTGTCCAAATTCACGGGCGCCTACTCATGCGGTCGACAAACCCCGAAAACATCGGCTGCATCTGAGTATCCTATCGGGCCGATGCATCCCAGAATTCATTGTGCCATCAATAAATTAAACAGAAAAACAAAGATGGTAAAGGTTTTTTTATTTTATTTTACGGCAGAGGTTTTTTAAGGCTGAGTTTGGAAATGTATCACTGACTGCAGGATGTAAGTGAAGCAACTTAGCTGAAGTTTTGTTTCAATGAAATGTTAAAAGGCTATAAAATTTATAAGTGCTGATATTGAAGCTAAACCCAAATTATTAATGCTTTTTATTAATTTACTTGTAACGTTTCTCTATTAAAACTGATTTCTATGAACTACGTCGCCTGCAACCCATAAATTTAGACACAGTTGTATTCACAGTAGTTTCTGCAACAGATGTAATTTTATGATGACATTGATTTTTATATAAGTTGTCAACCTTGGCTGAGTAAAACTTATAACGTGTCACGATAAGCGATAAATCAATTAATCACATGATAAATTAAAATGAGTTTGATCATTTTCATTTCATTTATGAGAACCCTGTCAACAGGCATTTAGCCAGATGAGCATCATCTTCTTTCAGCTGGTGGCGCCCCAGGCCACCATGCCACCAGTTTGTTATTATTATTATATTAGTATATAATAGTTTTTAAACAATATTATCATGTATCACAACAATTTCTGATACAATTTATCGTCCAGCAATGTTTGTTATTGTGACGGGCCTAAGTATAAGTATCTGATGCATTAAATTAATATTGAATAAAATCAGGATGTCTGGGCCGGTAACAAAAGAAAATAAAATGATTAAAGTTATTAAATTAAAATTTCAAGGCATCTAATGCAAAATACTTCACAAATGTATTGATTCATCTTTTTTTTAAATCCTTTGTCAATAAAAGGCAAGAATTTCCAGAAATACTTTAAACAATTTACTGTGTGTTTTCTTGCTCTTTGGCGGCTGTTTCCTCTGGGAGTCTTTTTCACAATGAATGTCAGGAAGGAGCAGGAGATGGACTGATGGATCATGGTCTCATCTGCAGTAATGATGATGTTGCTCTGGTCTGTCAAGGTGAAGGAGGACCTGAGTTATGAAGTAAAGTTCTTTATTTGTTTATTCCAGCTTTCACATATAGTCACAAGGTGTCATGGCTGAAAGAAGATGATCCTGGGTAGAAAAAACGAGCTTCCTCTGTGTGACCAGGTTCAGCAAGGAGACAAGGTGAAGATCTCTGTCATCCAGGTGGAGCTCGGAGCTGAGGTCCTCAGCACCAAAACGAGTTAGTTGAGATGGCTTTCTGGGAAAAAAAAAACAACACAAAAATACATTTTCATGTCTTCCTTCTCAAGAAAAACACTCTTGTCTGATGACAGGTGGGTCGGTTCCAGCAGGTATAAATAAAAATAACCAGATCTGATCCATGTTTTTAAATCACATGCTGTTTGAGTGAAGCCAGTTCTGCCTCGATTACCTCCTTATATTGATTTATCTAGTAAACATATTTATTAGTGAAACCAAAAGACATGGTGTTAGCTGCTTGAACTCAGTTGTGTGTTTGTGCTGCGGCTGCAGGAAACAATAGACACTGGCGTTCTTTGTGTCATCTTGGCCGTGATGCTGAGATGTCAGGAAGCACCTCCCGGCTGTCAGGATGACTCTGCACAGTAACAGTAATGTCACTGCATGGTCTCACCCTCTGTTCAACAATATGCTTCGTTGTTGCTCACTGTCAGAAAAAACAAAAACAAACAAGTTGCAGCAGAAACAGACCGGCTCTGACGGTTTGATGTGATGAGAAGGTTTTGTTTCTTGCGGTAATTTGATGACCAGTAACAATGTGTGATGATTGAGCTGCTCTCATGTGTGTCCATTCATCACTTTTGTTTATTTATGTCCTGATAACCCACGTGTCAAACTTTTAAGACCTGTGGGCCAAATGTGGCCCGCGGGTGACTTTTGACCAGCCCTCCGATGTTTTACCCCAGGTCAGAACAATCTGCAACAACAAGGAAGCAAAAAGTCAAGAATCAGGGGAAAAAACTCATAAATTATTAATGTAAATGAATTATAATAATAAATTCTAAATGTTTTGTTTCTCCTGATATACATGTTGGAGTCCTAGGACTACTGGAGACAGTTACATTGAGTTTTTGCCCCTTTAATGATTTATTTCAGATTTCAGTAAAGACCAAAATAAGAGAATGTCATGTGGCCCTCTGCCTTTTTTATTTTTGGTCAAAAACTGTTTTTTATGAGTGGCAAAATGATTTATGACATTGTACTGTAACACCTAATTGTTTCGTCTAAAAAAACCTTAGAAAATGCTTGCATTAAATACTGCATATAACTTTATTTTCTATGAATATTAGTTTATATTTGCATAATAAGTTGTAAAAGCAAATCATTATGAATATTCATTGTTTCAACGATTTAAAAAATATTTTTTCTACTCAGGGTTTGTGATTTTTGTGTGTGTTGGTCAATATAAAAATAAAATCTAATTCACCCATGCTGAACAAAATTACATCAAGCAAGTCAGATTTGATCATATTTAAGGTGAAACATGAAGGTAGAATCAAAAATACTCCAAAAACATCCAATTTTACCCTGGACTCTAGAGGGTTAAAATAAAATTAGATTTTATATCAATTGTAAATATTAAATCTATGGTTTGATGCAACAAAATAAACAAATTTAAAAGGTAAAAGATAATGCTTGTCCTTCCCCTGAGCTATTCCTGTATTAATGTCTTAAAAAAGCTGTTTTAAAGACCATGAACTACATTTTCCATAATGCATGTTGATTATTTTACCTGCAAAATGAAAGCATCCCATCAACTCGCCACAGTACGTAAAGCTCTCTTACTTTTACTTTTAATAGTATTTCTGTATTATACATACAAGTAGTACTGTTCAGTGTTTATAAGAGGACATGTTAAAACGCTGTTTCTATGCAGGAAATACCAGGTAGAGCTCAGTTATTGTTTGTTAGCTGTGCTCAGCCGTAGCAATGTGACGAGGAATGTGACGTTTTGAAGTTAAACAAAATATCAACGTTAACTACAACTGGCCCTTTGAGGGCCACCATGATGCTCACGTGGCCCTCAGTGAAACTGAGCTTGACACTCCTGCCTTAGTGCCAATCATGAGTTTTAGTCTTTTATTTATTGTGATTTAAATGTTTGAGTTTGTATCATTTGTATCCTTTTGAAGGCAACTTGAGTTGGTTTCTGTATCCTGGCCAACACACACAGCTATCATTGGTTTTCTCATGTGGCTTCAAACAAACTCACATCTGTGCGGGACGCAGCCGGCTCTGTTGGTGATTTATGAGCAGCCAGAGGCAGCATGAAAACACTCGAGTCCGTGCAGCCAATTCACAAAAAAACTGTTTTATGAAAAAGCCTAAAGTGTCAACAAGTAAGTCTAGATATCTTTTCATAACCTTTCCACAGGAAAGCTGGAAAAAGACTTTATTTTGATTGCGGTGTTAAAATGTTGATTCGTAGGAGCGTGGTATTTTTCTTAGCTCCTGATTTAAGGACACATCTGGATTTTTTTTAAAAAAACACTTCCACTCTTTTAACCACAGACATGTGCTGAAGCTGCAGTAGCACAACCATGAAGCAGGACAGAAATGTTCTCCTAATTAAAACCAGCAGATGTTTGCAGATGAGTGAAAGAGGAACTAAATGCCAGCTGTGTGATCATTGATCCAAACTGATCAGACTGGAGCAGAGCATGGTGACTGACAGACATCATGTGGAACGAAGCTGCAGAGAAAGTTAAAAGAGCATGAAAGAAAATCCTGCTGCACGCCTCAGAACAGCATTAAGAAACGCACTCAATTTTTCATGGGTTTGGAGGGAAAGGAGTCAGAACAGATCCATGAAACTGTGGAGTGGAGCAGAGAGGCTGACGAGCTTCAACAGAGGGGATCCAGCGTGCTCAAACCAGGTGGTTCAGCTCTCTGGATGTGCTTTGAAAAGTACATTTGAAATTTTATGGGAGCAGCTCCTCCTGTCCTGAAAAGATTAGGTAAAGACTAAAACAAGCTGTATTTAAAAACATGACGGTGTTCCTTTTACCTGCTGCCAGTATCCGGCAGACTCGTCTAAAAATGACTTCAGCTCACAATCCTTTCTAAACATCAGGGTTAAAGAACACGTTTCCTCCACCTGAATAAACCCTGTGACTCACCTGCTGTTGGATGGTTTTCATTTCAAGCTCCATGAACATGAATAATTCTGACAACCTGAACCTCTGAACTACTCTTAAATTTAAGAACATTCCAGTGAAACGTATTGAGTAGCTCCTGCTGTCAGTGGATATCATCACGTTTGCAGACGACACGATGGTTGTGTGGGCTGATCGCCAACGATGATGAGTCAGCAAACACGAGAGAGAACTGGTAACTAAAGCTGTCTGCTGCACAGTATGTTTAATATTTTTATTTTTATTTAACCTTTATTTAATCAGGCAAAACATTAAGAACTTTTTTTTTTGCAACGTCAGCCTGGCGGGTACCAGAGACACCCATAAGGAAAAGATAAAAGAAGAAACAAAACATCATACAAACAACATATCCAAATAACATAGAAAATAAATCACAAAAGATATAACATACGTATACAAAATAAATAAAAACAAAAACATATAGCATAAAAACATAGCACGAAGCGTGCTCAGTTTCATAAAACATGGCTATCAATGACAGGTCAGAGATGGTAGATGAAGCTCATGTAAAGTTGATTTAAACTGACCTATAGGTAAGAGCAATTGTAGTTTCAGATCACTTTACAAGTTATTCTATGTGAAAGGGGCTGCATAGCTAAATGCATGCTTCCCAAAGTTTGTTCTGATCCTAGGAACTGACAATAGGTACATGTTTTGTGATTGAAGGCCCCGCCTGCCACACTCCTTCGATAAAAGACCAAGAATTGCCTTATAGATAAAACACTGCCAGTGAATAAGCCACCTGACAGCCAATGGAAACCAACCAGTCAGAGACAGCAGGGTACAATGATGAGTTGAGAATTGACAACCAGTCATGAACCTCAATGCTCCATGATAGGCTGCGTCCAGGAGATGGAGTGAACGTACTGGGGCATTCATATAAATTAAATCACCAAAATCCAAAAGGGGAAGGAAGATGGCATTGATAAGCCGCTTCCTAACGGCCAGGGAAAGGCAAAGTTTATTCCTATAAAGGAAGCCTAATTGCATCCTCAATGTTTTTAATTAAGGAATCAATGTGCATGACAAAAGAAAGGTTATTGTCGATAATAATTCCCAGATATTTGTAAGAGACCACCTCCTCAATGGGGGTACCATCAAATGTGGTAAGAAATGAGGCCGCTGGCGGGATCTTCTTCCTACCAGAAAACAGCATGGACTTTATTTTACCTACATTTAGAACCAGATTCAGCTGAAAGAGTTGGGATTGAATAAAATCAAATGCTGAATGCAAATTTTTAAAGACCAAATCAACTGTACCAGCAGAGCAATAAAGGTCTATATCATCTGCATAAAAGTGTAACTATGCATCCAAACCTCGCCCCACACTGTTAATGTAAACTGTAAAGAGTGTAGGACCCAAAACGGAACCCTGTGGTACTCCGTTCGAAACCCCCAGAAAACCAGAAGAAAGTCCCTCACACTGTACCGCCTGCATACGACCAGAAAGATAATTGAGAAACCAGCCAACAGAATGGTTCAATGGTCCTATATTTAAGAGTCTCTAACACAATATGTCATGGTAAATGGTGCCAAACGCCTTTGAAAGGTCAATAAAGAGTGCAGCACAGATCTTCCCAGCATCCAGTGCTTCATAAACATCATTGAGAACCTTCACGATGGCCATAGTTGTGCTATGGGACTTCCTAAAGCCTGACTTGTATGGAGAGAGTTTATTAGATTCATCCAGATAATCTATTAATTGGATGTTTACCAGTCTTTGGAGAACCTTTGCTAGGGCACACAGTTTAATTTGTGCTTGACGGATGTTTTTTTCCTGATTTTATGCACCGTTTTTTAACCAGGCAAATCCCATTGAGATCACAGATTTCTTTTGGGGGAGGCCTGGGCCTGAAGACAACCTATTGTACATATTTTTGCGTATATATGTATTTTTCAAGTATAAAGTGAAAAACAAATTACCAAAAAATAAAAAATAACACAGAAACCTAACAGTCAGGCATGTCAGTAAAAACCTTTATCCTATCCGTTATCATTGAAATAGCCAAAATGGCATTTTGCTATTTGAGTGCTATTCAGTTTCTGCTTATTATTTTGTTTC